TGCAGGATTGGCCCACACCTTCAATTTGTAAAAACGTATTATCTGCAAAATGGAATAAAGTGAAGTACACTAAAATGAGGTGTGCCTATGCAGTAGTAGCCCTCTAGCTCTGCTTTGCCTGTGCTTAAAACTTACTCTTAGTTGCATTTTTGGGGGTAATTTTGGTGGGTTGTTCTGTGCTCTAAATCACGTCATTGGCATTCCTTTACCCACAGTTCCCTTGAGGTTGGTGAATGCACCGCCTTCAGATGGCCATCCAGGATTTCTGCCTCCTTCCTTGGGCATCCATCACTGCAACTCCAGCTCTTTCTGATGAGTTGTCATCACCATTGCCTCCCCTCCCCGTATGCCCCTCTTGGTCAGGATACAACACACCGCTATGCTAGTTCTCTAACCCAAGGTCCACAAGTAATGCTTACATGTCCTTTGTTCTAACAAACTCTGACAAACAGGTGTCTTCTGGTCCAATAGTTTCTCTTTGCTTTGCCATCAGAGAGAGAGCATCAGCCAGTGAGTCTCTCCCCTTGAAGATTTCTCAGGCAAGAGTCAAATTCCAGGCAAATAGCCAGCAACCCCAACCACTGCCACCAAGTTCCAGGAGTCCAGTGTCAGCTTTTCTGAGATGTTCCATTGAAGCGCCTTTCCCCTGCATTCAAGATAAGGGAAAAGTAACCTCCTACCTTGGAAGGTACATGCAGATCAGATCACATCCCAATTCTCTCCAAAAACCCTCTTCTAGTTATCACTCTCTTCTTGGCCTTCCTTGCCTCTTTAATGGTCTAGAAGTAAGTAATTAATTGTGGGTCCCAAAAGCATTTTTCAGTGCTTCTCTTTGCAGGTGTGGCTTAGACAGTCTTCAGAAAACATGAAATAGATAACAAAGAACAGCTAGAGTTACCAAATCTACTAACTGCAGTTATAGGATGACCCAATATTAATAAAATTCAGCCTTGTGTGATGATGAGGAGCACAAACTATGTAGCCAGACTGCTTGGATTTGAATCACAGCCTTTTTTTTATAGCTGTGTGACCTTAGTGAATTACTTAATCACTCTGTGCTTTAGTTTCCTCATCTGTTATATAGAGATAATATAAGACCTTTCTCATGGGGCTGTTAGGAGAAATGTCAGAATTAATATTTATAAGCTGCTTAGAACACTGTAAAGATGTTTTTAAATAAAGACAACTTAACAAACCTCTTAAATGAGGTTCTTAAAATTTCCTGGGGAGTTGGATCACACATATTAAAAAATATATACCACATTAAATAGTTTACTGAAAATGAGCAAATAGGAATTCTACCAAAATGAGTACTTGCACAAAAGAACTGTGCTAAAATAAAATGTCTACATAATGTCTCCATAGGCCCTTGGATAAAATTTTAGTTTTTATTGGAATCCTGCTGTTTGTATATCACCTGATCATTCTACAAAAAAATGAAATGCTTTGCAATGGTGTGTATTTAAAAGTAATGATCATGGGAAATATGGTAGAAAATAGAAATAAGACTAGGAGAAAATAATGCATCAGAAGTCTATGCAGCTTTTAAAATTGCTTTGGTCTGACTCTGAATTTCCTAGGAACCGAAGTGAAAAAGGAAATGCAATTTTAAGTCATTTTGTCCATCAAGCCTAATACAAATTTAAAAACATTAAAAACCATACTAACTTAATGCCCCAAATGACATCTTCAAATACTGACACTCAACCAATGCAGTTTTATATAAGATTTTCTTACAACTTTCCATGTAAGCTGATGCCTGTTTTTGCTGCCTAGTTCAGTTATGAGAATCCAGCAAGAAGTTAAGAGGATATGGTCCAAATCTTCAGGTTTCTGATTTTCTGATTATAAATTTCTACAAGAATAGATAGACTATATGTCCTTTAAGCCTCTCTTCTCCCTTGTTGTTCCTCTCAACTGAGGTTTGATGAAAGGTAAGCTGCAGACAGTTTGAGGTTATGTACTCTGACAACAGCCTGCAGTGCAGGTATTCTCTGCCACTGATGGAGGGCAAATCCTCATGCTTTAAAAATCAGCTGAGCTCATGGTAGAGTTGACAGTCCTGCTGTTCGAGAATGCTTCTCAGAGGCAGAGGACAAAGCACATGTTTCTCTTTGCTGCCTTGTATTATGAAATTCTAGAGTTAACCGTAAGAAACTTTGCACTTAAAATCATTGGTAATACTCTTTGCATGATTCATAGAAGTTATTTTTAGGTAACTGTGTCTTAGTTTAGATACAAACTAAGAATGAGGGAACTGAATTCTAGTTCTAGTGCCTGTCCATTAATTTGCTTGACCTTGAACAAGCCATTGCACCTTCCTGTGTCACAGTTTCATCACCAGTAAAGTATAAAAATCAAATAAATTTCAGGCTCTTACCATTTGATGACTTTTGTTGTGAATAATGACTAACACTACACTCATTAAATGGCTGTTTGTGTGTCCAACAAACCCTTTTGAAATGATTTTCTGTACTGTGAGTATTTATCAGTTTGATCTAAACAGACTTCACTGCTCTGATTTCATGTTATTAAAGGGAGAATGTCAAGCCTCATTTATCTCGTGAAATGGAAGGAGTGAATTAAAGGACCTATGTTAAAGGACATGAAAGGATGTCATTTCACATAGGCATTGCACACCCTTTTTTTGGCCACCTCTGGAAAGGAGGCAGCTCAATTCTCTTGAAAGTGAGTCTTTTGGAATATCAAATATCCATGAAAGAGATGCTTCAGATTTACCCAAATGTTAAGAATCTTGCTTCTACTATGTGAGTTTTTCCAGAAGTAAAATTGGAGGAAAGCAGCTATTGTCTAAGACATGTTCTTGAACAACAATACCCTGTGTGTGTGTGTCTGTGTGTGTCTGTGTGTGTGTGTGTAAATATATATATATATCTATATATATATATAGATA